GGGGGGGGAGGAACTCTCGGAATTAGGAAAAGCAGAAAAATGCTATTCAAGACCGAACCTAAATGTTGATTCATGCAAGTTATGAAACATGATCATTGAAATAGAAACCTGACTGTTGACCAAAACAATTTAAAAAGGGGGGCTTCGTACCTATTTACAGGATTGCCCTCTCGCCTTTTTCCACTTCCTTGAAAAATGTAAAATGAATGCAAAGACTTCAATTTTTTTTCATGACATTCGAGTGAAAATTTCAAGGATCATGTTCATAGCCTTCAAAATGCAACATTCTAAGGCCCCCTCCCCTTTTTTCGAATTTGATGTACAGTGCCTCAAATGCAAGTGGAAAGAAATCGGTCGACGTTGGAAGGTCAGATCAGGGTAGATACAAGTCTGGGTTTAGCATAAGAAAGAAACAGCGGGATGACGAACAAGGAAAATCGGTGTAGTGCTTCGAGGTTCGGCGGGGCGCTCTTATGGGTTACCGCAACCGGGATCGCACGGAGAGGATGCAAGGGGAACCACGCCTCACGCCTTTCAACGGCGAAGCTGTACGCAATCGATTAATGATGTAGGGGGAAGAAAGACGGTCGGGGATATCTGCTCCCGAGGGAAGACAGGAATCAGAATGTGGATCATCTTTTAGATACTGACCTCACTGATACACTCCGAAGGGTATCAGTGAGGAAGGATGATGCTTTTCGCGCAAATGTGATACGCAGAAGATGCTGAGGTGACCTACTGCTCGGAGCTCTCAGCTCTCTTCGGTAAAGGGTCAGAGGTCAGCCGAGACACCTAGGAGGCCACGCACCTACCGCAACTTCCATAGGGTGCCTCACAAGAGAGCTCAACTCTCATCTACATCTCTCAACTCTCATCTACATCTCTCAACTCTCATTTACATCTCTCAACTCTCATCTACATCTCTCAACTCTCATCTAGGACAATCCTTCGACTGAGCCACCCGCCGCATGTCGTGTCGGCTGGGCCGTTCGCTAAAGCCTCGATACACGAGGCAAGTTCTTGCGAGCAAGTCCTTGCTTACAACATTCTGCGCTACTTGGAATGCGCTACGAACCGATCGTAGAGATCGAGTCATTCCCGGTTTTCGGCCATCTCCTTCACGGAGTTCTTCCGCACGAGCCCCGAGGAATCCGACCTGCTGCAAGTCTTGACGGGATCGATGCCTTTTCTCATCGCTGCAGTGCAAGAACGCGAAGAGACTTTGGCTCCAGCATCGACGAAATCGAGTATTTTCCACATCTGTGACTGACACATGTGTCCATCTCCACCAAGTGAACTCACTTTCTGCCAGCTGATTTACATTGATGAGTACGGGATCTGGTTCGATAAATGGAAAACAACGTTCCAAGGTTAGTCTCCACTATATATTTCCGTCGCTTGCTCAAACAATTTAGGCAAACCGACTTCATCCTTCCTTCTCGACGTTCATCAACAGTTGAGTCTCCCACTCCAGGTATATTAGTTTTTTTTTTCTCATTCTCATTTTGGCCGGATAAGTTTCACGTACTGTGCGTTCCACAAAAGTCATCGATGGGCCGATGAAAAATGTTTTTGACCGGGAGGCCGACGCGAAGTTCGCGGTAGTCTCGACCGCGTGTGGGATGCTGGGTAGAGCGTTAAAAGGGCGGCTGACTGAACGTGCGAATTCCCATCAGTGTTACGCGCTTAGCGCAGGCCAGGGGGGGTTCAAACTTGATTAAGCTGGTGGGCGGATGGAACCCTTCAGGCGCGGTTGGGTCCACATCAGGAAGTCGAGGTTTCTATTCCTAACAGGTTGAAAATGTCTACGCTTTTCCAAAGACAACTGCTTAAGAGGACTTTGTGGTCTGGGCGAAATGAAATAGCGGGCAGGCAGTTTGACACACCTGGCTTCGACCGACTTAGTTCCTGGCTTAGTTCCATGTTCCAAAAGTTCCCGGAAGTCATCCACGGGTCGGCTAGTTTGAAGAAAATTCTCTCGTGGAAACGCACTTTTCAACCGCTTCGTGATATTCTGTAACTCCTTCATACTATTTCATAGAGTTTCAAGGTTCTTCTGTCGAATATGTGGTGCTTAAAGGAATGATAAAAAAAACTGTCCTTTGGCCGCAGAGTTCGTTGCAAGAAATACCATCATCCCGAGGACGATGCATGGACCCATGCATGGGTCCGACAGGCGAAGTCGAATGTAAATGCTCTCGATGCAAAGCTGCATTTTGGCCAGGGAAGGTAAAGGGATTCAGATGGAAACCGATCGGTTAACATCCAACTTGCCCCGGAAGACTCACTGTTTTTCAAGAATAAAGGAATTCTCATGTATTTCCGTGTTCCCTTTCTTCGCGTGAGTAAATAAATGTATTTTATATTACCACGGCGTACATGCAAATACCAATAGATTTCCCACTCTTTGGATGAACACCGTTCCTGTGTCGTATCGATTCTGATGCTTTTATGTGGTACTATTCCACGACGTGAATAACACTACGACGAGGACATGACGTAAAAAGTAGTCTTGATGGCCGCAAATGAGAGAAATAGTTAAGGCAAATTTGAAAAAGTATTCCCCACAAACGCGGAAAATGTGCATTTTATCACTCCTATTTGAAAGGTCGTCGATTTTAATTCAGATAGGCACATGAACCTGCAGAAAATAAATGTGGTGATACGAAAAAAAAATGAAATAAGATCATCCTAAGCGTGTTTTAAATATGTTTTTGTTTTTTTTGCTTGCCGTATTTAAATCCGTATTTAAACATAGGAATCATGGCAACCTTAGTCTCATAGGTTGTCTGAAGAAAATACAGCACTGAAAACTTTTTTTTTCGACATGAAAACGCAGCGTCAAAAGTCGTCCTTAATAACGACACGCTTCGAACGCGTCGAATTTCCAACGCACCCCGAACGCGTCGAACGGCGTGTTGAAAACCCCCAGAGGCTCTGAAGCGGCCGAAGCGAAAATGAGAGACCACAGGCGTGATGTGTAAGCAGGCGTGGTTTTAACAGGCTTTCAGATTTCCAGCTGCATCCCCGGGGCCCATTGGCGAAGCCGAGCCCAATAATCAAGGACGAAGAGACCTTTAAACCGAAGAAGACGGATGAGCACGCCCAGGTCTTAGTCATTCTCTCCCGAATTTGGGGGCGCAGGTTTATATCAAAACCGTCTCGCACGAACTAGGCGATCTCCACGCGACATCCACCCAAGCGGATGGACGTGGAGAGGGGGATCCTCCCCTGCGACCCACTCGGAGCCGACCCAAGCCTAGCTTATTGGTCCGGGTGGAGGAATTGAAGTCGCGCTTCGCTCGAGGAAAGAAACCGAAACTTGTTTTCTCGAGCGTGTCAAACGAGATTTGAGAGAGAATGATATGGGATGCGGTTAGGGAAAAAAAATTTCATCGCTCGAGTTCATCGCACGTAACCGCGACGAGCGGATTTCCTCACTTCTTTACGCTCCTCTTTTTCCAAACCAGTGTCAGTTTTTTTTTTTTTTTTTCAATGGGAACGCGGATTGCCAAATTCCACACGGGACACTTCAGCTTCCAGGTTCATTTCCTTCCCTCGAGACTGCCAGGTTGCAAGCGGCAATCCTCGCCTTTGGAAATCGATCACACGAAAGTGTTAAGCTGTGGATAAGGCATAAATTGTGCCTGACATCTTTCACGCATTTTTTTTCCATCTGAAATTGACGATTCGATTACCAGGTTCCAGCTCCTGCCAATGCTCTAGTTTTCTTGCGATCTCTCTCCAATGCGGATTCCACGTCGAACACGGCAGTCGCCGCATCCCGATAATGCCCTTCCATGTTTTGCGGACTATTTGGGAAGATTTGTGGGAAAATGACCGTGCTCTTTATTTCCGTGCCTTCACTTCGAGCAGGTTCTACTACGTGGTCCGTCGATCCGCTACGGCGCCCGACCAACGATTTCCTTCAATCGTACGTGAGGTACCTTAACCCTTTCTTGCCACCCTCCGCTTCATTTCATCCTTTACTGCATAGAGCCACTGACTTGGATTAACTTCCCTATGAATGGTAACCTTAGATTCTTCCAATGTTTTTTGTTTTTACCCCTAACTGCTCCCCCTCCCCCCTCCCCCGCCACCCATCCGGCTAACTTTTTGTTTCGGATCTCCACATTAAAAGAAAAAACCACGTTACGTGAGGTCCAGTCTCCATTTTGCCCAGTCGATGGCCCTGCCACCTATCTCTCTCACCCGTGGAAAATTGTCTCCACAGGCGAGGAGGAGGATGAACCCCTCGTAGGAAGCCTTGGAATACAGGGAAGAACGAATCCATCACCCAACGCCTCTTTCATCGATTCGTCGGGTGAGAAACGAGATCCAAATGAATAAGAGAATGCTTAGAATTCATCATTCTTGATCATCGGCATGGCATCAATCACGCGTACAAATCGGAGGCGAGAAGGAAGACGGAGGCGAAGACGGCGAGGAGGCTGAACGTCGTAGCGACTTCCCCGCTGGTCAAGAGGAGTGCCTCGTCCCCTTCCTGCTCGGTGGTTGCCGTCTCGGTCGTCGTGGTGGCCCCTGCCTCCGTGCCCGCAGAAGGGATGTAGTCGTCGCACACAGGGAAGCCCCGAGGGGGAAGGGGGAAGGACGCCGGATCCCCGACCTCCCACACCAGTCCCATCCCCAGCTCCATGTGATAGTCCAGGTGACAGTGCATCATCCAATATCCTGCACGTACCAGTCCTTGCGTTAGAATTATGGAACATGATGACTCGCGCACTAATCCGCTCTTTTGCGACCTAGAGGGCGACGCCTCCAGAGCGCCCGAGGCAAGGCCGTTCCTTGAATGCCTCGAAACGAGAGCCTTCCACGACCTAGAGAGATTCCTTGCCAATAGATCGCGTCACGACCTCGCATGTCATTGCGGCGACTCGTTTTCCTCTCGCTTTCAGAGATCGCTGGGATTCGCCGAAGTCGACGCCACGAGACGTCGAAGAAAACAACTTCCCAAACCTGAAGCGGTCCTATCTAAGCTAAAAGACAAAATTGGGAAAGCCGAATGGAACGATCGCTTCGATTCGAAGGGGGAAATCATTTTGGCAGGACACCGCCTCGAAGTTGAAGCCCGAACCCGACATGCTCCAACTTTGCCGGATCCAACGTGGGAACGACCGCGACGACGTCCAGTAACGAAGACGTGGTCCTCGACGTTTCCGTTTTCCTCAGTTAAACATGGAGCGCGAACGGGATGGCCTTTCGGTCCTCGGCCCTTCAGACCCATCAAAAAGGACCCTTGGTATGTCTCCCGTTCTCATGCAAGTCGACCGCCTGTCGCAATCGGTGGCGACATTCCGTTTGAAATCTGGTTCGAGGAAAGCACGGTTCCAATGAGAATTTTACGGAAACCGAATGAACGCGCGTATAGGACGCGGCAGACGAGAACGCCGGTGAGGAACTACCGAGATTAACGGAAACGCCGAGAGAAGGAATTTCGGTCGTTCCACGAGACGGAGTCGGGGAAGGAATCGAACCTGGGTTGTCGGCGAGGAATCTGATGAGGGTGTATCCGCCGCTGGGCACGGTGACGGTGTCCTTGAAGGGAGCATCCTCGAGTCTCGTTCGGATCTCTCCTCTCCTCAGCAGTTTCTCCGTTTCCTCTCGGCTCGCGTTCCCTCCCACCTTCCCCATCCCGAGCACGCGAAAGTGGTTCCCGTGCAGATGGAAGGGATGGTTCGCCTTGCAAGGACCACCTGGGAACAGGGTCGGTCGGTCGGTCGGTCGTTCGAGCGGTCGGTCGGTCGATGTGTGAAAAGAGGTAAAGAATCCCACCTTCGTCAACGAGGAGCACGTCCACGACGGAGCCTTGTGGCACGGAGAGGACGTGGAGGCAGTGGCAGAATTCCACCGTGCAATCTCTCCCCTCGTCTTCCAACGAAGTGAGATTGCAGAATCGTCTTCTGGTGTCCCGTTCCCTCCCTTTTACCAGGAGGGGACCGGACGGCACCTGAAGGCTGATATGATTCACCTGCGGCGTGTACATCGTATGCGATTCCTCTGAAACGGGAGGAGACCACCGAAGTTCACGAAGAGACACGTTTGATCGCGGTTCGCCGCGCGAACGCGAACGGCGGAAGAACGTCGTTCCGAGCATCGCGAGCGTGCGGATTCTAAATATTTTTTTTTTCCTAGTGAAATACTCATTTTCGAAATTGATTTTTTTCCCACTGCCAATCTCGCTGACTTTTCTTCCTGCCGCGAATCACCGTAAGGATCGTTTCCTTCCTTCGGTATATTCCAGAAAGGAAATTGCGTCAATGCATCAAGATTGTTTCATATATGAACTCAAAGGTAACTCCTGGAGAAATATTTAATCCCAAAAGCATGGGAATCCCCCAACTCCAATTCATTCAGTGCGGCTCCTCTCTTCCGGCACGCATTATTCAAAATCCTCGGTTTTGATTTTTCCCCTTTGTATGAACGCAGCCCCCGGCACGGGAAGGCATCGACATCCGCATGAATAACAATCCCGGGTAATCCCATGGTAATCCCGGGTAATCCCATGGTAATCATGGGTAATCCCATGGTAATTCCGGGTAATCCCATGGTAATCACGGGTAATCCCGGGTAATCCCGGGTAATCCCATGGTAATCCTGGGTTCTTCCAATTTTTTTTCTTCTCCCCCGAGCAAACTTATCGCGTGGGAAAGTCGCATGGGAGGAAATTCCACTGTGCCTACAGAACAAAATTTTTTTCTCTGCCCTTTGTTTTTTTTCTCTGTGACTTCCATACACCATCTATGGGTACGGGCTATCAGCGTTGGCTATGGCAGGTCACGGTCGGCCATGGTTGGCCCGACGGTCGGCCGACCATCCCAGAGCCACGCATGGATCGCAACTGTGCCACCCGCAAGCCAGCCTCCACCCCCAACCCACCCCGATTGCCACAGTTAGGATTGCCACAGTTAGGATTGCCACAGTTAGGATTGCCACAGTTACGATTGCCACATTATAATTAGCCTCCACGCACATCCTCCACTCTGGCATCCTTCGGTGACCTAAACGGTCTCAGCATCTGGTTTTGGAAAAACCTTTGAGAAAATCAAACTCCTGGGAAAATCCGCGGAAATTCTGCTACCCATTTTACGTCACACAAACATATAACTTAACAATGCTCATCAGCTTAATCTCTCCTCGCTGCTCAAAGAGATTACAAGGTCGACTCATCGAAGCGCGCTGAAGCGTGTCCTCCTTGGGACCTTGAAGTAAGCGTTTGTCACGGCCTGGAATAGGTAAGTCGTGTTACCTTCTCTTAACGTAGAGCTATGAATGGCCTCTATGTAATTTTTACTCTGGGATAAAAGCTTAGATTTTAACTCCTTGCGCCTCTAGGATCTAGAGAAACCCGGGGTCGCTAGAGACATCTAGCGGCTGGCACGGCAAGCATGGGTCGAGGGTCATCCCGGCGGTCAATCAACCCGAGCGTGACCGCAAGCTCTTTTCTTCTTTAAGTTCTCTTACCGTGACGATATAACATGTTCTTTAGTTATCGGGTTATTTAGTTATTTAGTTATTTGAGTTTCCTCGTTCTTCCAGGAAAAATTTCATTTTGCAAAGCAGTAATTAGTCGTGAGAAGTTTAATTTTCCCCATCGGAATGAGGTAGATAAAAATATATAAATTCCCTGTCTGCAATGTTTTCCCTTGAGTCGGTCAAGATCGACGAAGGAAGTGTCGAAGTCAGGTGAGTAAACATTCTACGTTGCATCGACGGCTCGTGCGTGTCGGTTGATCGCGGCTGCTGGGTGCCCTTTGTGGGAA